AGTATTGGTGCAACTTTAGCTTTTTGAAATATTTAGCCTTTCCTGCCATTTTTCCCCTCATAAAACATGAATTGAGCTCATTTTACATTCTTCAAATCTTTAGATAAGTTTACAACTTTTTATTGCTCCTTTCACATTTTGTTCTGGTTCAGATTCTTTCAGCTTCCTTGTGCAAATTTAAACTTTTTTCCAGCTACTTTCAGCTGTTTTATGCGTTTTTCTGCTAACTACAATATTTTTGTGCTTCCAACTTCTTTAGCTAATTACAGCTTGTTATCCCCTTTTAGCTTATTTCTGCAAGTTTCAGCTTTTTCCTGCTATTTCAGCTACTCTTCAGCGGTTTTATACTAATTTTAGCTTTTGCAGCTAATGCCACATTTTTTGCACTCAGTTAAACTTTTTTCAATCTAATTCAGTAAAAATGTGCTCTTTCAACTTCCTTCTGGTAATTTAAGTTTCTTTCTACCTTTTGAGCTACCTTTCAGCTGTTTATTTTATATTTTGCTAATTTCAGCTTTTTCAGCAAATTTCCACTTTTTGTGTTCATTTCTGCTTCTTTCAGCCTAATTGGGAAAGCATCCATTCTATCTGCTTTCTTCTGCTAATTTAAGCTTATTCCACATTTTTCAGCTAACATTTTTAGCTAATTTCAGCGGTTTTCATATTAATTCATGTTTTTCATGGTATTTTCTATTACACTTTCAGCTCGATTAACTTATTTCTTCTAATTTTGGCTTGTTACGCTTGTTTCAGCTTTTTGTTTTTTCAGCTACTATTTAGCTGTTTTATGCTAATTTTGGCATTTTCAGCCAATTGTACATTTTTGGAGCTCCTTTCAGCTCTTTCCACTTCCTTGTGGTAGTTTAAGCTTCGTTCTACCTTTTCAGCTACTTCTCATCTTTTTTTTTTTTCTGATTTGAGCTTCTTTTTAACTAATTTCCTAATTTTTGTGCTTATTTTTGCTTATTTAAACCTAATTCAGCAAATGTGTTCTTTTTGCTTTCTTCTGCTAAAGTAGGTTGCCTTCCATTTCAGCTGTTTTTCAGCAAGTTATCTGCAGTAAGCATTCACACTGCATTTTCGCAGGAAGTGCAGTTTTTCTAGTTAGATTGAAACATTTTCCAGTAATGTCATCATTATAGAAATTAACTCTGCCCTGCTGTTTACTTTTTTAACTCTTCTATCTTGTTTTAGGGATAAGCAGGCAAATGCTAAGAGTGTGCGCCAGAAGGACAAAAAGCTGAAAGACCTGATGATGCAGCTGGAAGACGAAAGAAAACAGGCAGAGCAGCACAAAGATCAGGTACAGACACTTACTGCAGCCATGTATCGATTCTGAGCGAGGTCAGGGGGAGGCTGGGGTCGTTCTAAGCTGTATCCTCACCCGACAGGCAGAGAAGGCAAACTCTCGCATGAAGCAGCTGAAGCGGCAGTTGGAGGAGTCTGAGGAGGAATCTCAGCGTGCGACAGCTGCTCGTAGGAAGCTGCAGCGGGAGCTGGATGAAGCCACCGAGGCCAACGACGCCATGAGCCGTGAGGTCAACTCTCTCAAGAGCAAACTCAGGTGGGACAACGAGCCGAAAGAGACGGCCTGTTTTCACTGTTCTTAGTGTTTTTTTATCATCTTATACTCGTGTCTGTGATGCTGCAGCAGAACAAATCTTACAGTAGCAAAAAGTCTTCACAGTATTGTGCAAGTTCTAATTATAAACCACTTTAATTTTTTTTACAATTAGCTTCCAAGCAGTCAGCTCTTTATGTTTTAAAGTTTCTTGATGAAAGGTTCTTTAGACTTCTTGAAGGTTTTTCCAGTTTCTGTGACTCATTTTCAGTCCAGTTTTTCAACCTATGACAGCATACTGTTGAATGTGTGGTCATAAAAATAAAGCATACAAGTGAAGGACAGAAGAAGGTGCAGGAGATCCAGGAAAGACCTGATACAAGATATGCAATTCTTTTATTAACTGGCTAATTACTATTCAGTAATCCCTTTGTTGTTGCTAAAATGCAATTTTATGTTAAAATGTGTTCTGTGTAAAGTCTTTCACGCATCCAGCTAAGGAAATGTAACTGTCACTCTACAGGTTTAGGTACTTTACTAGCAGCCCTTCACACTTAACATTGTTTTTCTGAGTTGTCTGTTTGGTGTCAACACAGAACTGGATCATCTCGAGCTGGTTATGCAGGAATAATTACATCGTCAGATTTAAATAAAGCTAAATGAATCTTCTGAAAATGGTCAAGAACTGGACAGAAAATGAGCTTTTGAAATTTGAAAAACCTTCAAAAATCCTGAAGCACTATCAAGACCACTTTGAAAGTCTGTCTTTGTTGAAAAGAAACAATAATATGCACTGCAAATCAAAATAAAAGACCCAGCTTGGACTTTTCTCAGATCAGCTGAGAGCACGATGTGAGTTGTAAAGTGTTTTTGTGTGTCTTACATTTCATCTGACTCTGCTGCTCAACAGTTTGCATTTCCTTCAGCAGTAAACATTTACTGAGTAAAACCAAAACAATCATGTCCATCTCTTATTCCAGAGGCAACCCTGAACCTAAGGAGTAACACAGCAGGTACCTCTGCGCCTAAAGTTACCCCGCTGATGTTTCTCATTCTCAGTGCACTCTACATGCTCTCACTTCCTTCAGAGCCTGACTGAGAGAAACGTGGCTCGTCGAGCAGGAACTTAAAAGTAAACGATCCAAGTTGCACAGAGTTCTCCTTTTCTGATGGCCACATTTCTCTCAGCGCTTGGTTTAAGTGTCCTAAACCAAACTCATTTTCCTGAGCAAGGAGCTGAATGAGTTCAAGATAACCAGCGAGCTGACCTGTATTCTTTCATTGTTCCTTCTTGTAGCGTGCAACACCTGACTGGTTTTTAGCCTTAGCCTAACGAGAACAAACGGCATCACCTCCCTCTCACGTTGACTCTTTGTTCGTCTCTGGCGTTTTTAGGCGTGGAAACGAGCCCTCCTTCGGCAGCGCACCGCGGCGTATGGGTGGGGGCCGAAGGGTGGTTGATGACGCCTCAGAGGAGGAAGTGGACTCCCCAAGCGACTTCAATGGAACAAAGTCCTCCGAGTAAGGAACGATCGCAAGAACAAGATGGCAGATTTAAAGTTCAGGACGTCTGCCACTTGGTATGGTCAAAAATCTGTTTCGCAGTCTTCAACCCTTCAAATTATTCATTTTCTCATTTCCAGTAGTTTTATCGATCTTTCGGAGCATGTTCTTCCCACAAAGCCATCAGAAGTCGTTTATTTTTCAGTTTTGGCTTGCACTGAACATCTAGTTCTTTCTTATGCAATATTTTGTACACAAACAGGTGCCTCTAATTATCACCTGCTTCAAATTTAAAGCGGAGGCGAGTAAATCTGGAGAACTTGTATTGACTGTCGTCCTTGTGCCTGTGACTGCTGTTACTGTTTGAGAGCAGCGCTGAGATGAATTCACATCGGACGTCTGAACACTCCGATCAGTGCTGACTTTTCTATCCGAACAATTATTTAACCGCTAACGCCACTATTTTACATGATTTGCACCTTTCCTGTGCCCAAATGTTTAGATCTCTTCTATTTTAGTATTAAACCAAAGGAGACCAAAGAAGGGATAACTTCACATCTTTAAAATCATGAGCCACATGTTGAAGCAGCACACATTCTTTTAATCTTTGTTCTGATTCACTGTACGGTTTTTAAACGCTCTCAGTCACTCTAAAGCAGCTCATTTGATGATGTATAATCAAGTAATGTTTACATGACACCTTTGTACACTTTGTTGAACCACATGCACAAGAAATAAAGATCATGAAAAAAAATGGTTCTTTAACGTTATTTTTATTTTCTGTCTTTATCAGTAACATCACACTGCTTCATACTTTTAATTTCTTCACATTGATAAGAAAAACTGCAACCCAGCAGAACAAACGGTGGGTGGAGTATCCCAGGCACATGTAGAGAAGCAGAATAAGAGGCGTTGAGTTAAAACGCTCACAACAGTTAGGATCACAGTAACGGTTAACCCAAGAGAGGGCGAGCAGCAAACAAGGAAATCCATTTCTCGACTCGTTGAGTCCTACACACAGGTTAAAGAAGTGGTTCCCAACTCTGGTCCTTGAGGAACACCATTCTGCATGTTTTGCTTCTCTGCTCCAACACACCGGACTCAGTGATTTAATTACTTCCTTGTGGTCTACAGAAGCCTGTTAATAACCCATTAATTAAAATGAGTTGTGTCAGAGCAGAGGAACAACTAAAACAGGCAGGATGGTGTTCCTCAAGGACCAGTGTTGGGAACCCCTGGGTTAGAGGGCTGAACTGATCTTTTTAAGCATGTAAGGGTAAAAGCCTGCAGGACTTGAGTAATGCAGGATAAACCAGAAACATTTCAGGTAAAAGGCACAGTCATCACAAGCCTTGACCCAATTTATAACTCCTCGTAACAAAAGTTCAATGAAAACTAATGTTTTTACTATAAACTGTGCTTATCTTTAAACAAGTTTTATTATTGCTTTTTTTCCCCCCTCCTTAGTGTCGCTGTCAAAGAAAAAACTTTGAATCTCATAAATTGCAACTTATCAGGAAATTGAAGGGGGAGAAATTATCTTTCAGTTAGTGGTCACAGGTTCATCCATCCATCAAACCACAGAAGTGAAGGGATCAATGGCCAGTTTGTGAAAATATATATATTTTTGCTTGAACACAATGATATGTACTCCTCAAATGTTTTTCAGACTTAAGAGAATTATTACGACTTCAGTAGTGCACACGTGCCCCCATCTAAACGATCATTGCCTACAACTGTTTACAAGTGCTTTAGTATTAATGATAAATCTGCAGTGATGAATTCCATTTGAGGTTAAAAACACAACCTATTAACATTTTTAGATCTTACTCAATAGAAAAATGTGAGGGGATAAATACCCAAAAGAAAATATAATAAAACGCTGATCATGCATTTCAGTATTTTAAACAAATCAGTTCGGAGTTAAAGCAAAGAAAATGTTACAAACTAGCAAAAAAAAAAAAAAAAAAAAGCAGCAATATCTAAAATACTAAAATTCCCTCAATTAAACAGTCTACGCCAAAGATCGGAAGAATCTGTTAATATAGTTGTTTTTTAGCTGGACAAATAAATTCTAACATTTTGCTTATTTTGTTTATCAGAGCTTTGGTTGGTCATAAGCATAACATTGATATGATATATATAATAAACTCCCATGCCGCCTTCTTGGTCCCTAAACCCGAATCATTCTAATTAAAACGGGTCCCAGTGTAGGTCATGATCGATGGGTAGATGCAGCAGCTGGACTAAATGAGTTTAATGGGCGACACAGAAGAGCTTGAGACACCACGGATCATCATGGACACAGTGGAAGTTGTGGTGCAAGAAGTAGATTCTGCATTTCTTAGTGTCACTCAAAATGTGCTGCTTCCTGTGATATTAGCCTGAGACGGCAGAAGTCCGTGCGCTGATGGATGGGGGGGGGGGTCACTTCTGTTGCTCTGACAGGATCGACGCAAGAAGGAAACCTTTGCTGTTGTACGCCATTCCACAAAACAGGCGACAAGTAAAGATGGCTCCTCTTGTAGTTTAAGAATGGAGAAAGGAGGAGTCGCCATTTTACCATCTTAAAGCAGGATTTTGACCCCTCCCTGTGGGGACAGAGGACCCTGGGAGACCCCTCTTGGAGGAGCTGGTCCAAATTCTAATCGCTTTACCAAACTAAAAGAAAAACAAATTACTATTTGAGAGAGCAAACCTTACATAGGATTATTACTGAATATCTTTAAAACAATTACAGAAAACTACAAATACAACTCCAGTTCCAAAATAAGTTGGGACTTTGTGTATAATGTAAATAAAAACAAAGTACGATAAGCAAATTTTAGAAACCCATATTTTAGTCACAATGGAACATAGTTAATATATAAATAAGAAATTAGACCTTTTTATTTAAACAAGTACATTAGTCCCTCGTTTATCGCGGGGGATCTGTACCCTGAAGCCCCGCGATTAGTGAAAAACCGTGAAGTAGGAATAGTAGTACCAAGTAGTACGTAGTAGTTTTTTAGTATTTATATATCTAGATATTAAGGAGTTTTAAACCCTTCCCACATTTGCAACATTCTAAACAATGTTTCTAAACTCTAAACGCTCTAAAATAGCACAGAATGTCATGATTTCCCGCCGTCTCCGCTGCTCTCAGCCACCTGCAAGCGCTCTTGGCCACGCCCACTTCTCCACTCTGCACAGAGATCAGCTGATCAGCTGCAGCAGTAAGGGCTGCACAAAGGAGCAGCAGGTGCTGAATAATTTAAAATAATTTATTTTAAATAAAAATTACATGCCAATTGTGTGGCTCATCCATCAATCAGCCAATTGTGTGTCATGTCCAATCTTATTTTGAAAAACTGTGATCGAGCGAATCGTCGATAAACGTACCGCGAAGCAGCGAGGGACTACTGTAGCTTTAAAATGTATTTATGCAAAAATTATAATGGTACGATAGGAAGCAGCTAGATGGACATTTTTCTACAAATTAAGTTAATTGGTTACAAGTCAATTAAAGGATAGTATAAAAAGTATTTTCGTGAAGCTGAATCTGGGAAGTAAAAATGGGCAGAGGTTCAGCAGTCGGCAAAAAAGTTGTATTAAAAGCAGTGGAACTGAAAATGTTCCTCAATGGATGTTGGGAAAACTTGGGAACATCCTTTATCTACGGTTCAAATCAAAGAATTTCTGGAATGTGGAGAAATCTTTGAGCGAACAAGACCGAAAGTCAATAATGGATGCTTGATCTTCGCGCCCTCAGAGCCAGAGCTCATTTAAAATGGACTGAGGTTAAATGGAAAACTTTAAAATTCAAACCTGTCAGCAACGCTCAGCAGGGATGGCTGGTGAGGGAAAAAAAGACGTGACTGATTATGACTGAAGCTGCTACTGCTTCAGTCTCCTGAGTGAATCACGTGACTGGTTCAAACCACTCAGTGCTGCCTGTGTGAGGCAGCTTTGCTGTGCGCAACTCCCCAACTTTGTTGGTGCTTAAAAGCACCATATATCAACCCCAAAATAATACACAATATGTGAAAGAAATGATGAGAGGCTGTGGTGGCTCAGTGGCTACGTGCTGTGGTCTTGCAATCCCAAGGCTATGGGTTCAAGCCCAGGTCGTGTCATATACGGCATCATTTACGCAAGAGGGGTGACCCCTGAAGAAAGGAGCAGCCAACAGAAAAATGTATGGGTTCGTTTTTGTTAGCATCACTGCATTTGTTTTCTTTATCACCATCATGGTAAAAATTAAAAAAAGCTGTTATCTACTGTGGGAACACCTTCAGCTGATCAGCCCCAATAAGAAGGGAGTGTAATTCCTCTTTGATCGTTCTACCACAACTGGTTGTTTATATAATTTGAGCACAATCACACAACTGGCTAATACTGTCAGTGTGGCAGGTGTATTAGTCTCCATATATCCACCATGTATATGAAGTCATGATTAAACTCATTATAATAATGTAGATAAAAATGTGTTTGCATATTTCAGTTGACACAGGTCTAGTGCTTGTATATTATCAACAAGTCATCTCTGGTGAAGCACTTCAAAGTCATGCGTTAGGAAAAACAATACCATTGTACACCAGCCATAATTTCACATAAACCTCACTCATCACATAATTTATGACAAATTGTTTTGCTGACTCCTATTATGCCACTAGATGTGACTGAAACAAAGCACTGAATGAATGAAACCAATACAATTGATACTGGTTCATTTGCACATCGCTAGCACTCACTTCAAAAGCATCGTTTATTGTGATTAAAATATGGGTTTGAGCTTTGCAAACATACAAACCAAAAGAAGGACCAGACGTTACCAGGTCAGAACGCTGCAGTTCTTTGTCCTCACCTGTCGTAATGAGGAGGAGGGCTCAAGGTACTGGCTCGGACATCAGCGCCTGCTTCTAAAACTGAAGGACTACATGGACCGGCAGCGAGTGCTGGTCTGTTCACAGACGTGTCGTGCACAAAGTCTCGACAAGATGCCAGCTTGGACTCTAAATTCTGCCAAAAATGACAAATAAAAAAATTATAAGTTGGTTCAACGTTGAATAAGATATTCTGAAACTAAAACGTTCAATGTCTTACTCCAACTTTTCTCAGCAGCTCCCCAACAATGTTCAGTGCAGAAATTCTGGTGGACGTGGTAAGTGGGGTCCCCGTTAGACTGTCTCCTAAAACAAAACAGATACAATTTAAATACATCATATTAAAAAAGCACACAAAAAACTGGATTATTTAGTCATGTGCACAGATATAAACGTGTTATTACCTCTCCGGATGCTGGAGGCAGGTGTGATGTACGAGCTGAAAGGCTTGGAAGGTGTGACGGGAATAGACGGGGTTACTGGAGAGGAGCAGCCTAAATCTGAACGATCTGCGTCTTTGCCCAGACTGCTGGACGGACGCCTTTCCTTCTGTCGTACTGCCAGCTCCTGGCGAAGGTCTGTCGTAAAAAGTCAGTTATTTATGAGCATCCATGCAGAATAGTTGTTTCCATTACACTGCATGCATCACAAAAACTAAAGTCCAACTTACAGGTAAAGGGTACAACCTACTGGTAAAAAAACCCCCAGAAAATTAGGTGCTCCAGGGCTAGTCAACTAAATTGCTCAGGGGGCAACAGTTACTGCAGCCAAGAGGTCAGGGGCTGGACATCCAGCAGTTATTGTCATTAAGTACGTTTGTTTTATGGTTTAAAATCTAGTTTTGTTGAAAAATGAGCCCACTGGTGGGCTGAACTGAGCACACCCATGGGCCTGATTTAGTCCCGGAGCCTCAGTTGAATAGCTTAGGCTGTGTAATGAACAGAACTGGGATGATTTAATACCACAGAGAATGATTATATGATCACTGAGCCAAAAACAACTGAAGACAACAAGCTGAGTTTAACTGTTTTTTTTTTTTTATGTTACTGTGATTTTTTTATACAACAAGAAAAAACATGGCTGTGCATGTGAATTTATTTAAACCAGAATGAAAATTCGTCTGAGATGTGCTCACCTCTGGCTTCGTCTTTAAGCCTCTGAACGGACTCGAGCATGTTCTCCTTCTCGTCCAGCTCGCTTTCCAGAAAGGCATTCCTCTCGATGACCTGGTTCATCCGCTGCTCAAAGTCCTCCAGAGACATGATGGTAGCTCTGAGATGTACAGCGGACATCCAAACGAGTCAAGTTCATTTGATTCATTGCACATATTAATGGGGATAATCGTGTGTCAAGAAGGTTTTATAAAATACTACAAAGCAATTTAAAATATATATATATTCTCCGCAACGGCCTTTTTATGTTTTAGCAAACTCTTCAGTGGCCGAATAACTCTTCAGTTACACATAAATTAAATACTGCTTCTTCTTTTAATGAAATACATACTGAAAATAAAGTAGAGGCGTAATCAATTCAAAAGACAGTTAAATCTGTGACCTACTGACCTCTTTGTCCTCTCTAGGTCATCATTAGCCTGTTCCAATTCTCTGATATACTTCTGCAGGTGATCTCTAACTGCTGTGGTCTGTGCCAGATCTTCCTCCAGCACTGAGATGTGCCTCAAAGCGTCAGAATGCTGGGACTCAAATTTCTCCTGCAAACAGAAAAACGACACTGGATGCGTCACAAGGAAGGTCGATCAATGCAGGCGCCACCACATCTCTGCTTCATATCTAGTGAGCATTCTGAGTCACAAAACCCTGCCGTGTTTGTGTGAAAGATCAGCTTGTAATCTACTAAATGTAAGTAACCAGAGCAGCACTTTGTAGAGCTGGAAAATACCGACCAGCACGTGTTCTACCTTTATACTGTCCAGCTCCATGCGAAGTCGATTGTTGTCCATCAGCAGCTCTTTGTTTCGCCCTTCGCATTGCTTTAATTCTGTCTCCAGTTCCGCTTCGTAGTCTCGACTCATCTGCTGAAACTCCTGCAGCTCCTCCTGAGTCTCTTCCGCCCTGAAGACAAAAACCCATTACAGTAACCTCCAGACCAACTGAAAAACGTTGTATGACATCATGGCGCTTAAAAACAGTACACCAATAATGTCATCTTATATGAGATTACAGCTGCTTAAGAAAGTAGTTCTAATTGTTCTAACTGGCTACCACCAGTCTGTGGTAGTCAGTGTCCTCTTCTGTGCCGTTGTGTGTTGGGAAGGAGAGATGCAGGACGATTTGACAGGCCGGTGAGGAAAGTTGGTTCAGTGTTGGGAACAGAGCTGGAGTCCCTTACAATTCAATTCAATAATACTTTATTAATCCCAGAGGGAAATTATTTGTTGTAGTAACTAGTTATCCTCATTTCATTAAGAGATGTTATAGATACTGATGGCTGCAGGCAGGAAGGATCTCTTGTAAAGGTCCATCCCACAGTGGATCCTAAGAAACTGGCTGCAGATGCCATCCGATCTGTCCACCCAGACTCGGCTGTCCTCTCAGTTCTCCCTGCCTGTAAGACCGCCTGAATGCCGGGCAGAACTCCTCCCAGAGCGATGGCCACTCCTCCCAGCAGTCTGCCGAGCTCCTCGTCGCTGTGGACAGTCAACTGTAGGTGCCGAGGGACAATCCTGTCCTTCCACTGTCATGAGCCATGTTTCCTGCTAGTTCCAGGACCTCAGTGGTCAGGCACTCGATCACAGCTGACAGGTAGATGAGAATCCATCCACAGAACATCCTTTTCAACTCACTTGAGATTTGGGGCTGTAGCTGAGATATTATTTGAGCTTTTGAGATGCTAATCAGCTGCTGGTTGTAGAAAACTGCCTTGTTGCCATGGTTACGCATCATAACAAATGTCAAAACTAAAAATGTTTCAGTAAAAATCCTTCCAGCTGCACAGCATCTGATACCAGAGGAAACAATCGTCCAAAAAAAATGTGACTTACGTCCAAAAAAAGAGGAATTAATGTTTCCAAAAGCAAAATCTCAGAATGAAAGTAACAGCGAGCTGCTCCAACATGCAGCCACCTTGAGCGGCGAATGGTGGCTCAAAAACATAAAGTACATAGGTGGCAGAGAAAAGGACCCTCAGTAAGCTGCTATCCATCAAGGACAATGCTGACCATCCTTTTCACTGTGCCATCATGAAGAAGACGAGCTCCTCAGCAGTAGACTGCTGTCCCAGTCCTGACCCACGGACAGATTCAGGAAGTCCTTTGTCCCTCAAACCATCAGACTGTTTAACTCCTCCCCATACAGTCAAAATAGTCTTGTAAATCTGCGGCACCCCAGTATGTATATATACACATGTAAATATGCACATGAATATATACATATAATTAGGTTAATCTATCTATCCTTCTATCTAATTACCTTCGCTGTTGTGTGTGTGCTTGTTCTTTCCAGTATCGTAGCTCCTCCTGTAAGGATGAAAATGTGTGTGCTGTCGGCTCCTCCATGTCTGCAGGTAAAAAGAGATGCAGGCAATAAACGCTGCTGTTAGCATGAGGACGTCCTCCTCACACAACCGTTAGCATATGTGCTAATTTGGGTAAAGCAACAGTAGAGAAAAATATCACCATCATCGTCATTTTATCACCTAGCTAAAAGCCCAAAACAACAATCTATGTAAAGATATAAAATGCTTATTTGAACACTTTTAACGAAGGAATCAAACACCGTCGAAGAAAACGCTCGTTGTTGGTGTAACAGTTTAGCTATCTTAGCTAATGCAGAGAGCTAACGGGCTAAATCAAAACAAGCATCACCGCATGAAACTGAACCAATAAGATCAGACTCACCTATATACAGAAGGAATAAAATTACAACATGCTACGCGTAAAAAAAAAAAAAATCGATTTAAGGCTTATTTTAAGTTGTCAACAGACTTGCACCAAGTTAATCTCCTGCTGCGATAAGCTAACACTAAAGTCACCAACCGAATTACCGAATTCAAACGACCCTTCGTCTCAAAACCCCATTGGATAGTTTTGATGACGTCACGTAGACATAAACCAATCACATTGAAAAACAAGCCAGTCTTCGTTCTATTTGTGTTCACTTTATAACCCCCTGGCATTATTGTCTTGTTCGTTTTGTTTTAAAATGTTGATATTAATTTTGTAATTTTGTTAACACTTTTATTGTCAATAATTTTTTTTTTTTTTTAAAGAAAAACAAGCCAGTTGTTTTTCCCAGAGGGCGGGTCCTTCGGGCACAGTCTCCACCAATCATTGTGAGGATGCTTGTTGCCACCACAATAGACATGAGATATTTTGCTAACAGGTGAACAACACTGACTTCCTGTATAGTATTTATGTCTATGGTCACGACACACACTCAAGTAAGTTTTATTTCCTTTATTACTTATATACAAACACATAAATTAATTAATTACATGCTGCAATACATACAGTTGTCGTCATAAAGTGGTTGAATAAACTGAAACCTTATGAAAAAATATACCAGTACTTAGTTTTAAGGCTCATTTTGTGTAATGGAAGTGATATAAACTATTGTTATTGAATTGATATGCGTTTCATCATAAGATATTGGTATAAACTGGCCCATAACTGATTAAATTTGCATTGGTTTTCTTTTATTTTATGTTTTAGTGACCGGAGTTTACTTGAATTCAATTAAATTCAATTCAAAAATACTTTATTAATCCCAGAGGGAAATTATTTGTTGTTGTAACTCATTATCCTCATTTCATTAAGAGATGTTATAGATGCTGATGGCTGTAGACTGGAAGGATCTCTTGTAAAGGTCCATCCCACAGTGGATCCTAAGAAACTGGCTGCAGATGCCGTCCGATCTGTCCACCCTGACTCGACTGGCCTCTCAGTTCCCCCTGCCTGTAGGACCGCCCGAATGCCGGGCAGAACTCTTCCCAGAGCGACGGCCACTCCTCCCAGCAGTCTGCCAAGCTCCCCATCGCTGCGGACAGCTAGCTGCAGGCGCCGAGGGACACTCCTGTCCTTCCACTGCCACGAGCCGCGCCCCCCGCCAGCTCCAGGCTCCCAGTGGTCAGGCACTCGAGCACAGCTGGCAGGTAGATGAGAATGCGTCCACAGAACATCCTTTTCAACTCATTTGGGAGTTGAGGCTGTAGTTGAGATATTATTTGAGCTTTTGAGATGTTAATCAGCTGCTGTTGGTTGTAGAAAACTGCCTCGTTGCCATGGTTACGCATCATAACAAATGTCCAAAACTAAAAAAGTTTCAGTAAAAATCCTTCCAGCTGCACAGCATCTGATACCAGAGGAAACAATCATCCAAAAAAATGTGACTTACATTCAGAAAAAGAGGAATTAAAGTTTCCAAAAGCAAAATCTCAGAATGAAAGTAACAGAGCTGCTCCAACATGCAGCCACCTTGAGCGGCGCAGTTCTAGAACAATAGCAAGCAGAAACAAGAAACAAGCAGAATAAAAAAAGATAGATGTTTCTTATTATGGTTTTATGAGGACCAATATAAAATTAATACAGTAACAATTTCTGCACAGTTTTCTATTATATCAGTAGGTAATGTGCTCTTAAATTTTAATTTTATAGGCAGAATTTGTGAACAGCTGCCAACTGTGCGTTTATCTATGAAAACAGCTGAAGTGACTGAAACTGTCAACAATGGCATCGACCATATAAAAGCCATTTAAGATCAAGATGCTTGACAATTTTATGTATTGGTACTTATTAATGTTGACATATTGATTCATATTCATGCTCTAATTTGTTGAGTAAAATCTGCAGATTTAAGTGCTCTGTTTACATTGAGTGTGTACCCAGTACGCTCTTTAAAACTGTATCGTTTGATGTAGTTCAGAATGAACTTTAATTTAATTTCATATTTTGCAATGAGCACCTTTAATCCTAATTGCGATAAAGAAAATGAGTATGGGAAACAAAATGAATGTTTACTACAGCAGAGGGTTAAACAAGTTTTATTTTTAAAAAAAGCTACGTAAAAAGTCCTCTTTTTGATGTATAGATAGCTCAGCCTCTGTAAACACATTAGGAAGTAACTTTATTAGTTTTTATGACTATATATAGTTATTTTAAATAGTTTTAATATTATTATATATGATGAAGATTAGTAAAGACTTAGAGCTTGACTTCATTCCATCATACCTACCCAAAGCATACAAGTTGCAATTTACTGCTGCTCTTCTCTGGACCCATAAAAGCACAAATTCAATTTTAACATTGCAAAAGCTGATCAGATCTTTTCCTAATTTCATCATAAAATATAGAGAATGCATTTTCATGCAAACAGTCAATTTTAGTATAACCAGGTTCATGCAGGCCTTTAGAGTTTATGAACTGTTTAAGGCTTTGAAAACAAATATACATATATTTAAAATATGCAAACATCACAGAAAATCCTCCTCTGACCATCACGATACTTTCTGTTGAAAGTTGACAGTAATACCAACATGCTGCTCCTTGAACCTGTGATCTCGTGATTATTTTAGCCTTCAAATAAAAACCTTTTACATATATCAGCTAGGCAAAAGAAAATCTACCATTTGTTATGAACTGTTTGATCCTTGGAGGCAGAATGCAGGTTCTTTACTGCACTGCCCTCAGTGAAAACAACAGGGCGTAGACTTTGATTAAAACAGTAGTGCATAGTACTATAAAACCAAAACAAGAAAATCCATAGAAAATTATTTTCATAAAAACAGAAGATCTGCACCAACAGATTACCTAACTGATCTTGAAATTGTAATACATTATAAATAATAACAATAAGACCTAAACTGTGAGTAGGTCGGCTACAAATACTCTCTTATTTTCATTGGGATTACAGTGTTTTAGATGTATAAACATCCAGCGTCTCAGATTAAAAAATAAGTGCACAGTGTTTGCTGTTCTTCGTTCCCATCACAGCAGGGTTCATCGTCATCGTCACCTGAACTGCTCAACAAAGCAGAGAAATCTGGAAGAAAACAGAAGACATCATTTCTCATTTCAGTTTAATTTTGATTAAAGGACGCACAATCTATAGAAGCGTTAAAGATCGGTCCTCACTTCAGCTGGTTTATTCTTCAAGTTTCTTTATTTCTTTATTGTCCGTGTTCATCTTCTGATTGTCTAACATGTCGGTCTTCACCTGGCCCAGAGTTTGCAGCAGACACATGGTGTCAAAGCCCTCATCGCCTGCCTGCTGCAACAACTCCAGCACCTGTTAACCACAAATGTCAATTAGACTACTTTCTCTCTCTCTGTATATATAAATATATAAATATATATATATATTTGACCTGCAGTGTTTTTGCAGAGACTCACCTGCAGACACTTAAATGACTTCAGTTCACTCAGGTTCTCCTGCAGGAACATCAAATAGATACTGAGGTCGTTGTAAACAGGTCTGATCACACCCAAAGCACCAAATCCAGGCAACATCTCGTAAGGCCGTAGGAAGCTGGAGCTCTGCCGAGCCGGTCCGAAAGCTGCGTACACCACCAACGGAACGAGCAGCATGTACACGCCCAGGTTGATGTAGCTGAGCAGCCGGAACACCCCCACCGCTACCAGCTTGCACTGAACGGCCGACGGCACCGCACTGTCGTTCTTCAGCACTCCTGTCCGCAGGTCACAGGAAAACTCGTCCGTGAGCGACGCCAGCAGGATGTAGTAGCCGAGGTAGAGGCACGCCAGCAGGAGGATCAGCAGAGTCAGGACCCGACAGACCACGTATTTCACCACAAGGCTGTGAGAGGAGCGCTTGGTCTTTAAATACTGCTCCACTAGAGGATATTTGAAGCAGCCTTCCGTCAGCTCCAAAGCACTGCAGCAGAAGATAAAGAATACAATTACACGTGTTGCGGTTCACTCTCAGCTACCACCAAATTTCAGCTCAATACAGCAAAAACTCAATGAGTGATACTAGCAATCACAATGCTGCGATTGCTAGTATCACTCAGCCCTCTGTGAGTAGTAAACAGCCATCAGTGTGCTAATGACTCATTGTTAGGCTGATGGTCCTTCTTGAGCATGTGATCAGCTGGTTTTGATTGTCAGCAGCAAACTGGTTGATCCACTCTGAGAAGGTGCTATTTAAGAGACTGAGCTGAAAACAGCACCTCAGACTGAGGAAGTCTCTTGGATGAGAGACGAAACGTTTCTACATTTTTTTGCTTTGTTTTTTTGTTTTTTTTTGAATGTCCAGAGGACCAAATTGAACTTTTTTGGATTTTTCTACCTGGATTATTGAGCATGCATCAGGATATCAATGAGTTATAATCATTTATTTCTTTTAAGCTATGGTGGCCATCTTGGATTTTCGATTTGGATTCAGTATGTGATGGGGAACGTTCTCAGCTACAACCTCACAAAATTTCATCTCAATATATATAAAAATAGCTGAGTTAAATGTAGCTTTGGTGGCCATCTTGAATTTTTTTATTTGAATTTAGAACGTGTTGTGCATTGCTATCAGATACCACCACACCAAATTTCAGCATATCTTTTAAAAACAGCTGCTGTCGGGTTTTTTTTGGGGTTTTTTCACTTTTAGCTAAGGTGGCCATCTTGGATTTTTAATTTGCATTAGGAAAGTATAACAACTCGTTCTCAGCTAAGACCATACCAAACTTCAGCTCAGTACCTCAAAGAATGACTAAGTTATAGACAATTCTGTGTTTTCTGAGGTAGCTGTGGCAGCCATCTTGATCATAAATGGATATAAAAGTTGTGGGGGCACATTGCAGTTTGGGCCGTATTACAGTTGATAGAAGAGTAAAACACGTGGAAGAAGTACGGTGCCTCTGGAGTGTCCTTGGACATGCTCACAGCCCCTGTCGTCTCCCCTTCCCTGCAGAATGTCTGTCACTATGTGCTAATGTGTGGGGTGTTTTTTTTTTATTTCAGCTATCTTTCCTCGGCCAAGGAATGAGTCTGTTAGGATTTTTTTTTTGCCTCTAAATCCTGTATATGTTGTCACTTTCGTTACTTTTTTGTCCGTCTAAACAGGTCTCACTTGTAAATGAGTCCTCGAGGTTCAATGTGATTTCTCTGTATAAATAAAGGTTGAATTAAAAAAAAAAAAACCTTTTCAGGTGGATAATAATAAGTATCTGCCTTCAGGCAGTCCCCAATAAAATATAATACACAGAAACGACAGGTAATTAAATCTTGGACACACAACCAGAAGAAAACATTTTAAAGGGCAGCTTTGAATTGAAGTGTTATTAAATTTCACATTTTTAGAATAAATATTAATTTCTTCTACTGATTTCCTCTCTGGATGTGAGAAAAGCTTACCGATATATCTTGTTAAAATAAAAACATGTATAACAATTTCTTTTTGTGCGTTCACCTCTGGCTGTCCTGGGTTGCAGCTTTGTCATCTAAAGACGCCAGATTTTTGGCCAGTTTGATGGCACGATTATAAAAACGGTCCAGCTCCTCCATAATGAAGCCGAGGTCAGAGGAGAGGTGCGGCGCTGCTGTGAAACGCCAGATGAGGGCCGGGATGTACACGAGGATGGCCAGAAGGAGCAGGATGTACGGAAAGAACTGAGGATGTCACAAAACAAATCAGACGAATGTGTCAAAAATCAATAAAAGCACAGTTTTTTTTGGTAAACTTTTAGATTTGTTATACTTTGCGTTACAGAGGGACATGATGAGGTCATTTTGAAACTCTCTCATCATTCAGATGTTTTTAAGGATGATGGAACGTTCAATAAATCAATATGTGAACTGTATTTAACACAAGACTTAAAGTGGGTCACAGAAGTATTCGTTCTATTGCCTCACAGCCAGAAATTTAAATTATTGTTATTATTTTGTTACAAGCTACAGTTCTATAAATTAAATAAGCTAAAGGGAAAAATTTTTTGTTTTACACAATTTAAAAAAATCAGAGATAAGAAAA